CACCCTCCTCCATAGCAGTGTCCTCAGCCCCCTTCACCCTCCTCCATAGCAGTATCCTCAGCCCCCTTCCACCCCCCTCCATAGCACCCCCCCCCCCCCCTTCATAGCAGTGTCCTTGTCCCCCCTTCATAGCAGTGTCCTTATGCCTCTTCACCCCCCTCCATAGCAGTATCCTCAGCCCCCCTCACCCCCCTCCATAGCAGTGTCCTCAGGGACCTTCACCCCCCTCCATAGCAGTGTCCTCAGCCCCTTTCACCCCCCCTCCATAGAAGTGTCCTTATCCCCCTTCACCCCCCTCCATAGCAGTGTCCTCAGCCCCCTTCACCCCCCCCCCCCCCCATAGCAGTGTCCTTATCCCCCTTCACCCCCCTCCATAGCAGTGTCCTCACCCCCTTCACCCCCCCATAGCAGTGTCCTTATCCCCCTTCACCCCCCTCCATAGCAGTGTCCTCAGCCCCCTTCACCTCTCCCCCCTCCATAGCAGTGTCTTTATCCCCCTTCACCCCCCTCCATAGCAGTGTTCTCAGCCCCCTTCACCCCCCTTCATAGCAGTGTCCTCAGCCCCCTTCACCCCCTTTCATAGCAGTGTTCTCAGTCCCCTTCAACCCCCCCCCATTCATAGCAGTGTCCTTATCCCCCTTCATCTGACTCCATAACAGTGTTCTCAGCCCCCTTCACCCCCCTTCATAGCAGTGTCCTCAGTCCCCTTCACCCCCTCCCCATTCATAGCAGTGTTCTCAGTCCCCTTCACCCCCCCCCCCCCCCCCCCCCATTCATAGCCTCAGTCCCCTTCACCCCCCCCCCCATTCATAGTGTCTCAGTCCCCTTCACCCCCCCCCCCATTCATAGCAGTGTCCTCAGTCCCCTTCACCCCCCCCCCCCCCCCATTCATAGCAGTGTCCTCAGTCCCCTTCTCAGTCCCCTTCACCCCCCCCATTCATAGCAGTGTCCTCAGTCCCCTTCACCCCCCCCCCATTCATAGCAGTGTCCTCAGTCCCCTTCACCCCCCCCCCATTCATAGCAGTGTCCTCAGTCCCCTTCACCCCCCCCCCCATTCATAGCAGTGTCCTCAGCACCTTCACCCCCCTTCAAACCATTGTTTTCAGCAACATGCTCAGTCGTACATTACACAGGGTCGGTCTGGACAAAGGGCCAGAGCTGCTGAACTTTTCTGGTTAACAAGCTTGTGATTGGTTGCTTGGACTACCCAGACCACCCGTTTGCAGCTCCTGCCCTCCCTAGGACCTCCCAGCCTGCCGCCTCTCCTGTCCTGTGAAGATGACAGTGCAGCAGCCAGGGAAAAGAAACAGGAGCGGGACCTACAGGGCACCAGGCAAGAAAGATAGACTCCAGGCTTCTAAGTGGAATGACTGCGGCAGTTCAGGAGGGACTGTAATTCAGTTCACATCTGGACCACAGTTAGCTATTTAGTAATGCCTGTTGTACATCATTCTGCACCAGCAACCAATCATGGCCTTTCATTGAGTGATAGAGTGGCTGGGGTTGTGGCAGAGCAGTACCTAAGTTGAGGTAGGCACCCAAAAACACAGAAGTAATCAAGGTATTTGTAGACACATTGTAGCCTGTACTTAAGAAGTGATGTTATTTTAAAACATCAATATACCTTATTCAATTTAAAGCAGTATTAAACCCAAAACCACAAATGTGATGTATTGCAGCTTACCAATCCTTAGATGTGGTGGCTCCATTAGTTTTCTTTTTTTAGGCTCTCTTTCCCTTTGTTTTTCACCTGGCCACGAACACACCTCCTGTATTAGAGTGCCCTCACTCTGGATGAATGAGCACAGGGGGGCACAGCAAACAGCAGCCTTGTCATCCTGGGGGAGGAGCATTGTTTTAGATATAGTAGCAGATTTAAATACAGTAACAAATTGAAGCTGAACTCCAGCTCACATTATATCATCGGTTACAGCAAACTGTTTTTTTTTTTTGCTTTGGGATAGAGGTTTTTCATGAATAAGTTAAAGCTTACCACTGTCAACACCCCTGCCAGTGTTAGGGTTCATGTACACACGGGGCGTTGGAAAAGTCTTCTGAACGATGGAAACTGACTGCTAGAAAACGTACGTTAGAAAAGGTCAGTTTAGCCGTGTGTGCATACATAGTTTATGTGCGTTTAGCCGCTTTTATGCAGTGTCACGGTATAGGGGCTCTGCCAATTATTAATTCCTGCTTTAATCCCCTCATTAATTCCTTGTGCCAAATGTTCCCAAATTTAACTGCTGTATGTCCTCCGTGTCATCCTGCCAAATGGCCCAAATTCAATTAACGTATTTTCCTCTTCACGCCACCCTGCTAAATGTCCTCAAATTCCATTAAAGTATTTCCACCACCAGGTCCTCTTGCCAAATGTCCACAAAATTCCATTGTCATCTTGGCCCCCTCACTGTTATCCCCTGGCTCCAGCTGCATTTCTCTCCTTGTTGCCAAATGACCCCTCTCCACCTCTCATCCTGCCGCGCAGAACGAGAGGTGCGGCTTTCACCACCCCTGCCACTATCTTCTCCTCCTCCGGCGCGGCCGAGAGGAGAAGGTAGCGAGGTTCTGGGCCGCGAACGTTCCAGGGATGTTCCGGGCCGCAGCGTCAGACGGATGCCACCCCAGCCCTGCCAACCGCAGCACGGGCACAGGAAGTTCCAGCACTTGCGGATGTACCTGGACAAAGGTCGCGCTCACGAGAAGTGCGGCCTGTGTCTAGGGGTAGTGCAGCGCACTCCCAGCACAAATACAGGTACGCAAATATGCGGCCCTACGGAAAAAAGCCCAGTTCTGTGAGGCCGCATATTTGTGTGACATCGGCGTGAAGGGGTTTAAAGTGATTCTAAAGGTTGTATTTTTAAAAAAATAACAAACATGTTATACTTAAATGCTCAGTGCAATGGTTTTGCACAGAGCAGCTCCGATTTAATTCCTTTTGGGTCCTCCGCCAGCTGTTCTGGCTCCTCCTCCTTGCCAAGTGCCTCCAATAACAAGCTTCTTGCTGTGGGGGCACTCAAGCAGGCTCCTGTGAATGGACATTGTCCATTCACACACAGAGCTCAGCTCAGCCCCGCACCCCACTCTCTCCTCATTGGCTCACTGGCTGTAATTGACAACAGCAAGAGCCAAATGGCCCCCACTGTTGTGTGAGCCAATGAGGAGAGAGAGACCTGGGAGAGCCGCTGTTCTCATGCACATCACTGGATTGAGAAGGGGCGCAGGTAAGTGAAAGGGGGGGGGCTATGGAGAGAGCTGCACCCAGAAGGTTTTTTTTACCTTAATGCATAGAGTGCTTTAGGGTAAAAAACCTTCTGCCTTTGGAAGCACTTTACCTTATTCTTTGCTCAAAAGAGTCCCTCCAGCAGTGCAATCGGTTCCAATAAACCTCTTCTCTTGGTTGCACTTTTGTGTCCTCTATCTGTTCAGGATTAATAGCCCTGCATTGCATGTGTTGATGCCAAGGGAATGCCCACAACCCCAAGTTCCAGAGGGAGAGGAAGGGGACATTGGAGCCAGCCAGAGTGGGGGTAGGGTAAGTAATGCAACCTCTTCAGCCCCCCAGATCTAAGCAGACCCCTGCAGTATGTGTGTGTGGGGGGGGTCAAAGCAAGGGTAGATTTTGCCTAATTTCTGGTGTTGGGGTTCATGACAACTGGAAGGGATATATTTCTCCTGTGTCAAAAATCTAACCTGTTATCAATTTGTGAAATAAATTTCTGTTCCACTTTACTTATATCTAAAGACAAGTTTTGGATAGAGTGTGGAAGGGTTGTCGGGATTTTTATAGCTGTCTGGGGAGATTTACTCTTTTTTTAACCTGGTTACCATTTTCACAGAAGAAAAAAGTGAGGGAAATCCAAATGTAACAGTTTTTTTTCCATAATAAATTTGTATTTGGTTTTACAAATATAGTTACAACAACAAAAAAAAAAAAAAACAAAAAAAAAAAAATAGGACAGTGAAAAGTTACACAATATCACAGTATAGCTGTTGCACAGGGGCGGACTGACCATTTGGAAACTCGGGCACTGCCCGAGGGCTTGGGTCAGTAGGGGGCCCCATGAGATGCCCCTGGTACCGTTTTCATAGGCTTTTTTGAGTTTGGGCAAGGACACAGGGGCCCCATGACCCCCTATTGCCCGGGGGCCCCATGAGTTGTCAGTCCGCCCCTGGTGTTGCAGTAAAGTTTAACAAAGAGAAAAAAAAAGGAAATATTGAATAATTCCTAACTGTCCTACTAGTTCCACGGAATAATCATTTTAGAGTATCCAACAAAAGGTTAACATAATAATATCTTAGGTTACAGTTCTTAACCAGTCGGACCAGGACCAGGGTTTCCAAGCTTTGTCAAATTTGGTAATTCTGTCATTTAGGTAAGCTAAAGTGGGTCTGGACTCGCTCAATGACTTCTTCTAGAGAAGGGACTAAGTGTCTTTTTTCCAGTGTCTAGTAATGGTAAGTCTTGATGCTAGAAGAATATGTGTCACTAAGAGCCGATAATGGATTGGATATGTATCTATATTTAGATTCAAAATGGCTAGGGTAGGATCTGGTTGTTTTAATATCCCAGTAATTTCCAATATCATGTGAAAGACTTTATACCAATAGCTTCTAATATTTTTACATGTCCATAATATATGTAATAGAGTACCAATCTGACCGCAGTGTCTCCAGCATTGAAGACTATGTTGTTCTGAGAATTTGGCCATTTGGTAAGGAGTTAGATACCATCTTGTGGAAATTTTAGGTGTTAGGTCCCAAAAGTTAACACATCTAGTAGCTGAAAACATATTCCCGGATGCACATTCCCACTGCTCATTAGAGATTTCAGTCTTGAAGTCTTTTTCCCACTTGAATTACCCCCTTGGCGGTATTCCCAAGTGTAGCTTGGGGTTAACTATCAGTACCAAAAGCGGTAACCCCGAGCTACACTCAGGATTACACTGCAGTGTTGCTCTGGGATTCCCTCCAGCACTTACCTTGCCCTTCGCTCATGCGATGTCCCTCCTGCAGAGTCCCGGGCCATCTCCTCCTTCCGATGCTGGCATCCGTCTTCCGGTCCTTGTGAGCATCGGGACGTTCGGGACATATGGGGGACGGAACGGTGGGAAATTTAAAAATGTTAAAAACTGACATTCACTAAATACACTAAAATCACATAGTAAAACATTACTGTACCAAACCATTTCGCATACATTTTGTCCCGAGTGCTTTGTCCTGTGCCCTGCCTGCATTTTTACTGTTCTTTCTGCCTGGAAACTGAGAAACGTCCATGGTGTCCAAAAAGCGTCCCTTTAGGTCAAAAGTGGTTTTAGACCAGCTAGAGAACAGCGATAGTAAATCAGAACCACTTGCAGAATTGAGTGATAATGATTCGTGGGGGAAATTCGTCCTCAGACACTGAAAACGATTTTGCGACTTTGCTCAGTGATGTGCGAACTTGAAGGTCTATTTCAAATTTCAGTGTTTTTGGTTTGATGACATTATTGAATTACATTTATTATTATATTATTATTTTTTATGATTATTTATTATATTATAATTTATGATTTTGTGTTTCACATTTTATCATACCCGGGAGGTTTACTAGACTCTTGTTCGGACAGATTTCAGTGAGTTATTCCTAAAAATTACAGGCCTACAATAAAAAAATTACATATTTCTATGCAAAAAAATGTACCGCTTTGAGCACAGAAATATTGACATAATCAGACCGCTAGGGAGGTTAAAGGAGTAGTCTTTTTAAATTCTGATTTACATTGTAGAAGGTTCTAAAATAGGGTGATACCACCTGATTTAGGAGTAGCGGAGCTATAAAACTGTAAAAATCCTTTGGTATATATATTGTTTTTACTGGATGTTTCGATAGGCAACGAATGATGCGTGTATAAGTTGACTTTTCAGAAGGGAGGATGTTAAATTATTTTGAAAGGAATTAAACATTTTTTATGTAATTTTTAAACACAAATATCTTGTATTGTGCGTATACCATTATGTTTCTAATTTGAGATATCTATGCTACACATTACGACTTCGAAGGATGTTATAGGTATAGGAAGAGGACTTATGCGGAGAGGATCTATAAGCATGGAGCTTAAGGATTTCCAGGCTTCAACTGAGGCTCATATAGTTGGTGTTCTTTTACTAGTGGGAATCCTTTGCCACAAGCTCGCTAGTAGTATGGCGCTTAAATCTGTAGTAGAGGCTAGAGTTTTTTCAATGTCACCCCCCATTTTGTATCATCTTCCACTACAAACCAATGTTTAAGTTGGTCTAATAATGATGCTTTGTAATAGTCCCTAATATCAACAAATCCCATTCCTCCTATTTTTTTGTGTTTGATTAACATATTATATGAGTATCTAGGTCTAATATTTCCCCAGATGTATTTTTTAAGCATAGATTGTAGTTTTGTTAGATATGAAGATTTAATTGGGATTGGAATTGATCTAAATAGATATAAAATCTATGGCAATATGAACATTTTAAACGCGGCCAGTTTGCCAAACCAGGATAGTTCATGCTTAGCCATTTGATTAAGGTGGCTTTGAATTTTTGGAAAGAATTTAGAATAATTGAGAGTTCCTAGGTCAGAGGTTTTGTTTGTTCTTTAAGTTATCGTGGTGGGGGAGTTTAAGATACTTAGTTGTGATTTTGAAAGCGTGGGTAAGCAAATTTGTGATAAAAATGCTTGTATGTTTTCCACAGAAGGTTGGAGAGTAGATTTGTCTTGATATAGGGTATATCAAACTTAATACTTTTCCAGCCTCTCTTTGTATACCTCCCCAGACCCCAGATGAAATCTCCTCTTCACCCAGCAGCCTGAGGAAATCCCTGGCCAAGAGGTCCCAGAAGCTTCCACTTTAAATTAAGGAAGCAGTCCCAGAAGGGGGCTAGTCAGGTTTCCTACCCAAATGCCCTTTCCCCGGATCCAGCCTAGGGGGTGTGGGGTTACTCGCTGAGTCTCTCCTGTAAGCTTGCGAGTTGGTGACTGCCTTCAGACCTTACCCTGGGCTGACTCCTCCTCTGCTTCCCAGGCTGTCCTCTCTCAGTGGACAATGAGTCTGAGAGATCCTCCTTTCCAGCTCCTCCACCTGTAGGTAGGCCCCTCTCCTGGACCCTTTCCCAGGCTCCACACACCATCCTGCTCACTTCATCTTCAGCCTAAACTCTCCTGCTGCTGAGCAGGCTTGGTCACTCTTAAGGGCTGTCCTGACCCCATGCCAAGCCTCCTGGAGATTGGAGATTGGCTAGTATCTTTTGAGAGTGCAATCCAGCTCCTCCACAGCCCTGCCCACTGAATTCTAGAGACTTCTAAAAATCTCTAGATCAGGGGGATGTTCCTGAGAACTGGTTTGCAGACTCTCTCAGCCCTGACCAAAATTCCACCCCCTTTGATTATTCCACCATGCTGCTATTCAGCCTCGAACTAAAATTTTTGTAACTAGCTTCCCTAGGATGGTGCTACATACAGAAAAGAAATATGGCATGAGATAAACATGGCATGGAAATAAATTCTACAGTTTGGGGGAAGCTTTGCCTGTAGAATATCCCACTGTGGGTATGTGCATAGGTTTCTGGGCTTGAGGCTAAAATGCCATGTGGCTTGGGTGTTCGTGTGGAAGCTGGGTCATGTTGAATCTTTTGTTGGACTCTAAATCAGCAGACCTGAGCAGGACACTTCTGGACTTGCTGAAACGCTGAAACATGTGAATCTCAGCCTCCCTCCCCACAACTCAGTGCCTCATTCATGAATAATCCACCATTGTCACCTCCACTCATGTTGGTGTTCAAGAACTCTCCATCCTCTGAAACCCTACCTCAAGCTGTGTAACTACCTCTTACTCTGTCTGCCTTTAGGCGATCATTGAAAATACATCTCTTCAGGAAAATCTATCCTGCTTCCACCTAACTGGAATTTTACTTTCTCCATCAACCCATCTACCCACATTTATTACCTTTTTTTATCACTTGCCCTTCTTTTTAGATTGTAACCTTGTAGGCAGGTGCAGTCTACTTTCTCCACTATAGGTGGTGCTCTTCCGCAGCGGCAATACAGTTGGAGAGGAAGTCAAGGGGAACATGGTTGGATGCTACCACCCCATGTGACTCTAGCAGCTTTCAGGCTTGGTTTGCATTTTTGGAAGTTGGTAGAGTAGGGACAGGTACCCCATCTGGTAGGGACAGAATTAATGGCAGGGAAAGGTTCCTGACAAGGAGGGAAAGCGTAGGGCTCACATCTTCTTCGGACATCTTCCCACTTGGGCACAAGATGGCCAGGCCCCATTCTGCCCCTCCTAATAGGCACTGCCAGTTCAGCTGAAACCTGCTTTTTACACGCTCTTGGACCCATGACTGTTCCTGGTTGGGCTGTCTTCCCACCAGGTTTATTGTGAGCTGTTTTTGCATTCTTTCAATACAAGTTAATTTGTCATGCTGGGACTGTGTATCTCATTGCAGCCACACCATACTACACCCCACCTACAAGTTCTTATGAGCTGGGCTTTCCTAACCCTCGTCTTGAAATTTACTGTAATTGTACTTGCTTTATTTTGTAAAATCCGGTAAATGCTAATAAAAAAATTTTCTTAAGCACAATTGCTGTTGCTTGAGGGTGTGGGTTTAAAGCATAGTCCTGAGTTTTTTTCAACTATCTCTGCAAATTGGAAAGGTATACAAATGTCCCAGGCCACCTGGCAGCAGATGGGCCGGTTGGGAAATGTGTTAAAAGTTAGTACCCACTGCCCACTTAACCAATTACATGGCCTAGTATGGTAAAATTAAAGGTTCCCTTTAAATCCTGAATTTTTTATATCTTAGAAAGTGCAGTCAATGTCAAGCTAGTGAAAGGAAACCAGCCACATTTATTTACTATAAGAGAAATATCCCTTTTGAAGCGATTCCGTGATCCAGCCACCTTCCACCAGACCATCACAAACCTTTGCAGTTATGTACACAGTTTAATCTCTCTGATCCCTAACCAACCAGAAGTGTAAGAGAAATACTAACAAACCATAAGACAACTTGATGGGTTTCAGAGTTTTCCAGGGCACAGGCGAGCCTATGTGCTGCAATCCAGAGGGGCTGCCTTTATTCTTGTGTATACATATCTGACATGAAATGTGGAGAGAACTGACTGGAGAAATGCCAGCTTAGAATATTTCAGAAAATATATATACAGTCCAGCTCTTAGTTTACAAAGCTCTGCATTGCATAGGTTACATTGTGGATATTTTTCAGCTTTTGGACTTACTTAGTTGCCCAAGGAGAAGAGATATATGAGCTCTTGAGCCATAGTAACAGGGGCTCTTGACTGCTGGGTACATGGTAGAATCCTCCAACATATTCCTCTAATTATCCAAATAAATTGTACATGATTGGCTGGATCTTAAGGAAAGGGGTGTGCCTGAAGGGGGATAGATAACTGGGGGTTCTTTCAGATGTCACACTCATCATAGGCTACAGCAGCATATGGACATCCTATAGATTTGAAGATCTTCCCGGACTATCTCCTATGTCATTGACATTGCTTTATTTGAAAGGCTTTGTCTTGCAAACCAAAAATCGTATCTGACTGATGCTTTCAGCTTGCTTTGGTTAGTTTTATGTCGGTCATAAATAGTGGTAAGCCTTGGTTTGGTCTGAAGTTGTGTTCAGCTGAACTCAAAAGTCATCATTCCTGTTCCATTGGGCTGCAGCTTTGACATTCCCTGCCCCACAGCTACATATACAGCAGGGGTCAGGGATGCTTATGACATCATTGACCTAATATAGCCACATGCACATATTAGGTCAATGATGTCATCAGCATTTCCGTCCTTTATGTACATACACCTGTGGGGTGTAGTATATAAAAACTTGACCATCGGGCGTAGAAGCATTACAGACGCAAGGGAAGAAGGTTGTAGAAAAGTGCTTAAGAATTCAGGTGTGCCTATCACAGCTTGATGTTTGAATACAGCTGTGAACCTTTTGAGGTGTAAAGATTCTTCATCAAGGGTTCCTGTCAGAAGATCTTCAGGCCATATTGTATAACATCCTCAGAACTACGTAGATCTCCACTAAGGACAATTGATTGGTGGAATCATCAGGCTCCAGGGGCGGACTGACCATTTGGAAACTCGGGCACTGCCCGAGGGCCCGGGGTCAGTAGGGGGACCCATGAGATGCCCCGGTACCTTTTTCATAGGCTTTTTTGAGTTTGGGCAAGGACACAGGGGCCCCATGATCCCCTATTGCCCAGGGGCCCCATGAGTTGTCAGTCCGCCCCTGTCAGGCTCACAACAAAAATACAAGAATACAGAGGATGAGTACTTCTTTCAGATAGTTTAGTTAAAGTCCGTGTATAGCCAGTGCTTCATTTGTTCTCTACCGCTGCAAAATATCCTCTGCTGAGCTCTGTAGTGAAGCCACTACTTTGAATGCTGAGTCATTACTGGATTGCTTACATCTCCGTGATGTCTATTCCAGAGATGTAAACAAAACGGAGCATGCTGCTCTCTGTCTGACACCTGCACTATGTATATTAACCACCCTGATCCCATGCACTATGTACATTACACACCCCAGATCCCTGCACTATGTACTGTACACACCCCACACAACTGCATTAAATATGTTACCTATACCATCTCAGTCTTTGCAGATGACACCAAGCTGTGCAGTGGAATAACGTCTTCACAGGATGTCTTCAATTTATAAGCCAACCTCAATGCTCTGTGTAATTGGGCAACTATGTGGCAAATGAGGTTTAATATTGATAAATGTAAGGTTCTGCACTTGGGGGGTAAGAATATGCATGCATCATACATACTAGGGGGGGTACAACTGGGGGAATCAATGGTGGAGAAGGATCTGGGGGTTCTGGTAGATCACAAGCTTAATAATGGCATGCAATGCCAAGCTGCGGGTTCTAAAGCGAGCAAAATCCTCTCGTATTAAAAAGAGGTATAGACTCCAGAGAGAGAGAGATATCATATTACCCCGGTACAAATCATTAGTAACACCTCATCTGGAATATGCAGTTCAGTTTTGGGCACCAATTCACAAAAAGAACATTGGGGAACTGGAGAAAGTACAGAGAAGGGCAAACATACAGAGGACAAGGGGACACTCTTTATGTCTGGAGGAAAATAAATTACATGCATACATGTATGTCCACTGAACATACCTACTTATAAGCTTCAGTTTAGTTATTGTTCTACATATATTGTGATGACATAAAACACATACATTCTATGAGTGTTCTATGTTTAGACATAAACGCATAGCATATACGCATGTCCACTTAATTCACTTTATTATATGATTTTATGTGATATTCCATGGCACATGAGCATTTACCGCTAGGAAGATTGCACTGCACTGCACTGAATCACGAATACGTTTTTTACTTTTTGTTTTTTTGTGGGAACACAAAACGTGTGAGCAGCAGTACTAACATTAGTTATATACTGCTTTTAGATATTTTTTTCTTTCATTAGTTTGCACTGTTTTAGGGTGATTGTGCTGAGGCTTTTTCACTATTATAACCTCAAATTCATGGCACATGAGCATTTACCACTAGGAAGATATAGCACTGAATCATTTATACTTAGGAAATCAGGTCAACACCTCAATTTCATTAATTCTGCAGATCTCAATCCAACCAAGCATCCGTGGGATGTGCTAGAAAAACAAATCCGATCCATGGAGGCCCTACCTCACTGCTTACAGGACTCAAAGGATCTTCTACTGACAGTTTTGTGCTAGATATCACAGCATACCTTCAGAGATCTAGTGGAATCCATACCTCAATGAGTCATGGTGGGTGTTCATACTCTTATATCAGTGTGTGTGTGTGTGTGTGTGTATATATATATATATATATATATATATATATATATATATATATATATATATATATATGTACACACATATATACATATATACACACACACAAGGTGATATCAAAATATTTTGTAACAATCCAACAGATGGCAGCACAAGGCTGTATGCACAGTCACAGGGAGCTCCAACCTTCATAGGTCAGTGTGCCAAATGGCATTGTCCTACATACATCAGGAGCTGTGCAACAGGTGCTATTCTGACCATGTGCGTTATTGTGTCTGCTATTTCATCATGGACAGCAAGTTAGAACAAACGTGAAACTTTGCATGAAACTAGGCAAATCGCTGGATCTCCGCAATGTTGTCAAAACGATGAACTTTGAGTTGGATTAAGAGGGCATTTTTGGGGGTGGAGCTCTTTGAAGGTCTTCCTGATCTCTTGTCTTCCAGTGATGTTCTTCTGCTCTTTAACCTCCCTAGCGGTCTGATTATGTCCATATTTCTGTGCTCAAAGCGGTACATTTTTTTCATGGAAATATGTAGTTTTTTTTATTATAGGCCTGTAATTTTTAGGAATAACTCACTGAAATCTGTCCGAACAAGAGTCTAGTAAACATCCCGCGTATGATAAAAATTTGAAACACGAAATCATAAATTAGAATTTAATAAATAATCATAAAAAAATAATATAATAATAAATTTAATTCAATAATATAATCAAACCAAAAACACTGAAATTTTAAATATAGCGCCAAGTTCGCTCATCACTGAGTAAAGTCGCAAAATCATTTTCAGTGTCTGATGAGGAATTTCCCCACAAATCATTATCACTCTCAATTCTGCAAGTGGTTCTGATTTACTATCGCTGTTCTCTAGCCGGTCTAAAACCGCTTTTGACATAAAGGGATGCTTTTTGGACGCCATGGACATTTCTCAGTTTCCAGGCAGAAAGAACAGTAAAAATGCAGGTAGGGTGCAGGACAAAGCACTCGGGACAAAATGTATGTGAAATGGTTTGATACAGGAATGTTTCACTATGAGATTTTAGTGTATTTAGTGAATGTCACTTTTAAAATTTTTAAAATCTCCCACCAGTTCCGTCCCCCGTACGTCCTGACATCGCAGGGACCGGAACCCGGAAGACAGATGCTGGTATCCACCAGAGGACATTGCCACGGACACTGCAGGGGGGACATTGTGGGAGCGCAGGACAAGGTAAGTGAAGAAGAGATCCCGGAGCAACGCTGCAGGGTATTCCCGAGTGTAGCTCGGGGTTACTGCTTGTGGTACTGAAACTTTACCCCGAGCTACACTAGGGAACACCGCCAGGGAGGTTAAAGCGTGCATGCCACTCAAAACACATCAAATGACTCATTGCTGCATCTCCGTAAACTTACTGAATCATGTCAAATGTCTCTTTCGCAGATTTGCCCGATTTCACACAGAATTTCATGTTTGCTCTTTGTTCTAACTTGCTGTCCATGATGAAATAGCAGACGTGGTAACATGTGGTCAGAATAGCACCAGTTGTACAGCTCCCGATGTACACAGGCTGATGCCGTTTGGCACACTGACTTGTGATGGTTGGAGCTTCCTAAGTCCTATGAGTACAGCCATCTGTTGGCGTGTTACAAAACTAGTCTCTAAACATTTAGATATCACCTTGTATATACAGTCATGGCCGAAATTGTTGGCACCCTTGATATTTTTTCCTGAAAATCAAGTATTTCACACAAAAAAGGTATTGCATTAACACATGTTTTGCTATACACATGTTTATTCCCTTTGTATGTATTGGAACAAATATATAAACAGAGGCAGAAAAGCAAATATGACATAATGTCACACAAAACCCCAAAAATGGGCTGGACAAAAGTATTGGCACCCTTAACTTAATATTTGGTTGCACACCCTTTGGAAAACATAACTGAAATCAGTCGCTTCCTATAACCATCAATAAGCTTCTGACACCTCTCACACCCGGAATTTTGGACCACTCTTCCTTAACTTTGCAAACAGCTCCAGCCAAACAGCCCACTCCAGGTCTCTCTTATTGGAAGGACACCTTTTCCCAACAGCAATTTTAAGATCTCTCCACAGGTGTTCAATGGGATTTAGATCTGGGCTCATTGCTGGCCACTTCAGAACTCTCCAGCGCTTCTTTGCCATCCATTTCTGAGTGCTTTTTGACGTATGTTTTGGGGTCATTGTCCTGCTGGAAGACCCAGGATCTTGGACGCAAACCCAGCTTTCTGACACTGGGCCCTACAGTGCGACCCAAAATCCTTTGGTAATCCTCAGATTTCATGATGCCTTGCACACAGTCAAGGCACCAGTGCCAGAGGCAGCAAAACAACCCCAAAACATCATTGAACCTCCACCATATTTTACCGTAGGTACTGTGTTTTGTTCTTTGTAGGCCTCATTTCCGTTTTCGGTAAACAACATGAAACAGTAGAATGATGTGCTTTACCGAAAAGCTCTATCTTGGTCTCATCTGTCCACAAGACGTTTTCCCAGAAGGCTTTTGGCTTACTCAAGTACATTTTGGCAAACTGTAGTCTTGCTTTTTTTTATGTCTCTGTGTCAGCAGTGGGGTCCTCCTGGGTCTCCTGCCATAGCGTTTCATTTCATTTAAATGTCGACGGATAGTTCGCGCTGACACTGAAATGCTCCCTGAGCCTGCAGGACAGCTTGAATGTCTTTGGAACATGTTTGGGGCTGCTTATCCACCATCCGGACTATTCTGCGTTTGCAATCTTTCATCAATTTTCCTCATCCGTCCACGACCAGGGAGATTAGCTACAGTGCCATGGGTTGCCAGCAAACTTCTTGATAATGTTGCGCACTGTGGACAAAGGCAAATCTAGTTCTCTGGAGATGGACTTGTAACCTTGAGATTGTTGATATTTTGCCACAATTTTGGTTCTCAGGTCCTCAGACAGTTCTCGTCTCCTCTTTCTGTTGTCCATGCTTAGTGTGGCACAGACAGACACACAATGCAAAGGTTAAGTGAACGTCTCTCCTTTTTATCTGCTTTCAGGTGTGATTTCTATATTGCCCACACCTGTTACTTGCCCCAGGTGAGTTTACAGGGCAGCATCACATGCTTGTAACATTCTTATTTATCCGCAGTTGTGAAAGGGTGCCAATACTTTTGTCCAGCCCATTTTTGGAGGTTTGTGTGACATTATGTCGAATTTGCTTTCTTTCCTCCCTTTTTTTGTTTTGTCCCAATACACACAAAGGGAATAAACATGTGTGTATAGCAAAACATGTGTTAATGCAATACGTTTCGTGAGAAATACATGATTTCCTGGAGAAATATCAAGGGTGCCAACAATTTCGGCCATGACTGTAGTATATATATATATATATATATATATATTACACTGCTTAAAAAAAATTAAAGGAACACTTTTTAATCAGAGTCTAGCATCAAGTCAATTAAACTCCTGGAATATTGATCTGGTCAGTTAAGTAGCTGAGGGGGTTGTTAATCAGTTTCCGCTGCTTTGGTGTCAATGAAATGAACAACAGATGCACTAGGTGGGAACAATGAGATGACCCCCAAAACAGGAATGGTTTTACAGTCGGAGGACACTGACATTTTTTTCCTTACTCATCTTTTCTGACTGTTTTTGACTAGTTCAGAATTTGGCTAGGGTCAGTGTTACTACTGGTAGCATGAGGCGATACCTGGACCCTACAGAGGTTACACAGGGAGTCCAATTCCTCCAGGATGGCACATCAATACGTACCATTTCCAGAAGATTTGCTGTGTCTTCCAACACAGTCTCAAGAGCATGGAGGAGATTCCAGGAGACAGACAGTTACTCTAGGAGAGCTGGACAGGGCCGTAGAAGGTCCGTAACCCATAAGCAGGACCGGTACCTGCTCCTTTGTACAAGGAGGAACAGGATGAACACTGCCAGAGCCCTACAAAATAACCTCCAGCAGGCCACTGGTTTGAATGTCGCTAACCAATCAGAAACAGACGTCATGAGGGTGGCCTGAGGGCCCAACGTCCTGTAGTAGGGCCCTGTGCTCACTGCCCGGCACTATAGAGCTTGATTGGCATTTGCCATTGAACACCAGAATTGGCAGGTCCACCACTGGCACCCTGTGCTTTTCACAGATGAGAGCAGGTTCACCCTGAGCACATGTGACAGACGTGAAAGGGTCTGGAGAAGCCATGGAGAACGTTATTCTGCCTGTAACATTGTTCAACATGACCATTTTGGTGGTGGGTCAGTGATGGTCTGGGGAGGCATATCCATGGAGGGACGCACAGACCTCTACAGGCTAGACAATGGCACACCTGACTGCTATTAGGTATTGGGATGAAATCCTTGGATCCATTGTAAGATCCTACACTGGTGCAGTGGGTCCTGGGTTCCTCCTGGTGCACAACAATGCCCGGCCTCATGTGGCGAGAGTATGCAGGCAGTTCCTGGAGGATGAAAGAATTGATACCATTGATTGGCCCCCACGCTCACCTGACCTAAATCCAATAGAACATGTTTTGGTCCGATCCTGGAGAAAATACCCCAGGACACCATCCGTCATCTCATTAGGAGCATGCCCTTATGTTGTCAGGCATGCACACAAGCATGTGGGGGCCATACAAACTAGTGAGGACCTTTTTGAGTTGCTGTAATGAAATTTCAGCAAAATGGACTAGCCTGCTGCATCACATTTTCACTTTGATTTTCAGGGTGTCTTTGAATTCAGTCCTCTGTAGGTCGATCATTTTCATTTCCATCTGACGATGCGGCACCCTTACATTCCTAACACATTACCTAGTTTATATCAGTATAGATATCCAGCAGGAGATTTTTCCCCATTGAGATCTGATGTGTTTTCAGTGTTCCTTTAATTTTTTTGAGCAGTGTATATACACATTGTATATCTACTGGAATTCCTATTTCTAGATATAAATGCCATAAGCAACATTCTAACACACACTGCACAAAATAAAACAACTTACATAAGAAAATCAGTTTTCTTCCGACTAGCTTGTCATTGAACACTTTAATGTAAACTCTGCAAATATCTCTATAGCCTTTGATTATAAAATGCGGACATGTTTATTTTGGTTGGACGCCCCAGACAAACATGAGCCATATTGCGAATTCAAAATTTTCTCTGACATCAAAAATGGATGAAGAGAAGACAATACAGACTGTGTGATTCATGGGAAAGTTCTTCTGCTAAATATAGACCGGCAGAAAATAAAAATGAAGATAATTGCTCAGACTGCTTGTTTAAGTCATTACACTACAGATGTCCCACATCATTGGCATGGAGCATCGGAGTCTAGGGATTGTGGATTGCAATTTCGCAAGAGCAGTTTTCAAGATGCATTTTCAGTCAACTAATATTTACTTAGAAATTCTGAATAGTATCTCTGTAATGGATCAAGCGCATAAAATCTATCAGGTAATACATGTGAAAATGTGAGTCCACCAATCCCAGAGCATTCATAGACACACACGCTTAGCACAAGACTAAAGATGCACCACAACCTATCACAAATCACCATCTTGGTTGCCACTACTAACACTGCTGGCTACAAACCACTGAACAAGACTCATGGTCAACTCTCATGGCCCCTTCAGGTCTTTACAAAGTGCATTACCACATGCATGTTAAGATGTGTTTTTTGTACGTTAATGCATGTTCTTCAAGGCGACCCATTAAATCTGAATGGGATACCAACCTTTTTTATATTATATATGTGTCGCACTACCCCCAAAAGAACCGACTGTAATATTGCCCAGGTCCAGGGGCGAACTGACCATTCGTGCACTCGGGCACTGCCCGAGGGCCCAGGGTCAGTAGGGGGCCCCATGAGATGCCCCTAGTACCTTTTACAGGCTTTTTTGGGTGTGGGTTGAGTGTGGGTGAGGACACAGGGGCCCCATGATCCCCAAATGCCCGGGGGCCCCACAAGTTGTCAATCCGCCTCTGCCCAGGTCTCCCCTTGCTTCGCCCCGCAGCCATGCACAAAGTATTTTCCACAGCCAGGTGCACATACTCTTTCACTCATTATCTTCAATGACCAGTTTAGGATATTTTTGTTTTTGGAGGTTTATTGTAGAACTGGGGATAGGGATGGGAAATTTAGAACTATTCACACTGAAGACATCTAGCTGATCTCTTTGTTGAGCAGTGTTGAAGTCCTGGCTGAAAGCAGATAGCAGAGTTCTCTTTACATTGTAGTAACAAGTAGTTTAGGGGTGAGCAAAGTCCCTTTAATGGTACTAGTAGTTACAAGGCTGAGCTCTTCAGGTACTGGCCAGTTATGGTAGACTATGGCAGTCCAAATGTAACAGAAATGAGCAAGGT